GAAGGCGGCGGTGTCACTTCCGACTCCGAAAATTATACTTCGGGTGAAGATACCGAAGTTAAGTCGAAACGCAAATACTTAAGTTTTATTGGCGGCAGGCGACCTGAGAAGACCACGAAGGCCGAAACCACTACCACCACCACCACCATCAACGAAACCACCGAGATAGTTGAAGAAGGTAGTGGTGACGCTGTTGTCAAAACTACTACTACTACCACTACTACCACTAATGAAACGACTGGAGAAAAACCCCCCGAAAGAAGACCTAGCCTGTTTTTCACAAACTTCTTTGGAGGAGGGAAGAAGGCTGAAAAAGAAAAGGAAATAAAGGAAAGTGCAGAAGAAACCGTAGTTGCTGAAACCAGTAATGCTGTTGAAACAAAATCTGAAGTTGTAAAGACCGAGACGACTATCGAAAAGATCGATAAGACTGAAAAAGTCGAAGCAAGTCCTACAGTTCAAAAATTTTCGTTTAAAAAATTATTTATCAGATCTTCCTCTGAACCTAAAATTGAAGCTGCAGAACGTAAGCAAATAATCATTTTATCTGCTAGAATATAAAACCATCTTGAAAAATAACTGTAAATTATCTATTATCAGAGACTGTAGTTGAAAATGCTGAGATTATTACTGAGGAAACAGCCGAAGGAACTACGAAAGTTGCTGAAGAAATAACGAAAGTTATCGAAGAAACAACAGTAACCGAAGCTACTACAGTAACCGAAGCTACCGAAGAAGCCACCGAAAAAATAACAGACGTAATTGAAAGTCCTGACGAGGAGGCTGACAAAGTTGACCCAAAACCGGAAAGTTCTAACCCAAAGAAAGCTACCGCTGGAATATTTCGCAGAGTCACTCAAGTATTTAAGAGAACCGTAGTAGATGATAGTGGGCCAACTAGAGACGTATCGGAAACAGCGGCGGGAAGTTCCACCGAGAAGAAGGAAGAAACCGTTGATTCTAATAAGGAAGTCTCTAAGAAAAGGTAATGACAAAACCAAATAATGATTATGATCTTAAATTATGATTTACCGATGGCTTATAATGTTTAATGTTCTCAATTATAGGTTAAGTAAACAAACACAACCGGTGCAACCTGAAGAAGTAGAACCCGAAACACAACCTACGACGACGACCATTGAATCAGCCGCCGATGCAACAGATAATCAGGAATCCGAGAATTTAGTATTAAAAAAGATAGAATCTCCCCGCAAGTACGGTCAACTGGATAAGTTAACCAAGCGAAAGATGAATTTGAGGAAGACATATAAACCAAAATACTTTGTATTCACCCAAGAAGGAACTATAAACTACTACACGAGCGAAAAGGATGAATCGGAACCCAAAAAAATTCCGATTACTCATGATGTTAAGATCACCAAGGTTGAAGATAAACCAACCGAATTTGAAATTGATACCAAATCAAAAGGCTACAGACTCATTGCTCCAAATGAGACTGAACGAGATGAATGGATCACCGTACTCGAAGACTATAGAAAATCACTTCCGGTGACGGATTCATCGTCTTCTAAGGCAGCGGAAAAGAAGGTTGAAGAAGTTCAAACCGAGGTGACAGAGACAAGGGAAATAGTAACCGAGAAAATGGAAGAAATCGTCGGGGAAACTGTGGTGAAAACTGAGGTAGAGATAACCGAAGTGAAATCCGAAGTGAAGTCCGAGGAGAAAATCGTAGAGAAAACCGAGGAGAAAACCGTAGTGATAACCGAGGAGAAATCCGTGAAGGAAATTGAGGAGAAATCCGCGGAGACAGTCGAGGAAAAACCCACAGAGGTAATTGAAGAGAAGACTACCGTCGAAACCTCAACTACCTCCGATGAAAAATAATAGTAATAATTTATAGTTTTCAATGTTTATCGTGATGATTTATCAATCAAAAAAATTATCTTCATCCTTTCTTCAAAAAAAAATCTTTTTTCTAATCAGTTTATACATATTAATGTCTTTT